AGGCGCCATGTGACACATCCAATAAAGTGGACATAAAGTGTGCAGGGTCAAAAGACCGTCTTAGAAGGAAACGAATGCAGCGCCTTTCAATAGTCCCACATATGACCTTAACTTCGTCTGCAATCAGATAATAAAGCAATCAAATGTGAATTAACTTATCACGCCAACTCTATTTATTTGGTCTGCGAAAATATTGCCAGCAACTTTCAAGATAATTGCGTGCATAATGCACAGCAGCTCTATTGATGTAAATCAGTGAAACATATTTTTACTTGACTAGGGTTTGCGTAAGTCAGAAAATCCTCCATGGGTTACGCTTTAAGTATATCTTATCAAAATAGGAAGTAATCTACTTGTCTGCGCAAGAAAGAAACAGCTTGATGTCCGAGTGCAAAATGTTGCTCTAATTTTCAAATAGCAACATTATAGCAATTACTTAACAGCGCTGGATCGTAGGATTTTTGCTTTTAGAAACTTTTGTGCAAAAAATGACATGAAATGTGCTTCATTACCGAATCGACGCATTTTGCTATAGAAATTGTGTATAATATTTCAAATTGGTCCTTTTTTGCTCGCTCATAGGATTACCGAGAGAAGGTGGTGCTATTGCAGCCATACGTAATTTGTCAATGAATGAAAGACACAGAAGTTCCTCCCACAATCACTTTGCCCCGGCGGTCACCTAACTTTACGTTCTATCAAAAGATGAACAAATAATGCCCAGAGGTTGCACTCACTTCGGCGTTGTGTCCATCCATTTCGATTGACTGCCAGAACTACGCATTTTGATTTAAATACAGGACGAAATTGATGACTTTGAAGGAATGTTGTTGGGACTCATCGGAACTGAAGAAAAATGGATTAAATGCATTGTTAATGCATCACAAGTAAGTGGCAATATATCTGCCGCAAGGCGGTGCGAAGTTAGAGAATGTAAGGGGAAATATGCACGGTAGTGCCTTTTGCTGGTGCGCGCATAATCTCATTAATTAATTGCACCAACTATTCCAGATACGTCTGCCACCTCATCCATCTGGCACGATCCGACAAATCAAACTGACACTCACTCACCTGTTGCGGACCAGTCCTGATGACCTTTCAAGCACTACATCTGAAGCAGAGCGATCACGACGCCACCTGCTGCTTGACGTAAGGTCACAACCTCCTACACACAGTGCCGATAACAGTATGTAAACGATATAACATGACTTTGACTTTCCAGAAGGGTTAGTAATGATGATAAAATGATTGGAGCATATTTCAGCAAACACTTCTATGAGCTGAAGAATTAGGAATCTCATTACAAAACCGCCTCACCTATGTCAGTAAGTACGCCCTTTCAAATAATTTA